AATATCAGAGCTACACCACCTCTCGTACCTTCCTGTCTGTCCTTCCGAATAGTCTGGTACCCTTGGATGTTTAACTCCCAGTCGTGACCATCCTGTAACCACGTCTCCGTAATGGCTACCAAATCATATTCATTCGCGATGATTTGTGCCGTTAACTCATCAACCTTGTTACGAATGCTACGAGCATTCAGGTAAAGTGCCTTTATGCTAGCTTTCTTACCCTCATGATTTCCAACATCTCTAATAATATCTCCTGAGTTATCCTTCCTTTTTGCTTCTTTCAAAGTCTGCCTTGAACTTAAACCCTCCTGCACACATGCTAACCTGCTGCTTACCTTTTTATTTACCATCATACTCCCTGTCGTTTTCCTTTTCCCTTTCCCTTCCCCCCCAACTCACTGGTTTAAAGTCTTAGTGACCACCCTATTTATCCTTTTCGCAAGAACACTGGTTCCAGATTGGTTCAGGTGGAGACCGTCCCATTGGTACAGATCCCTCCGGTTCCAAAACTGATGCCAATGCCCCATGAAATGGAACCTCTCTTTCCCACACCACTCCCTTAGCCACGTGTTTACTTCCCTAATTTTCTTATCCCTAAGCCAATTTGCATGTGCATCGGGCAGTAATCCGGAGATTATGACTCTTGAGGACCTATTCCTTAATTTCGTTCCTAGTGCTTGATAATCCCCAAACAGGCCCTCCATCCTAGCCTTGCCTATGTTGTTAGTCCCAACGTGGACCACAACAACTGGATCCTCCCCCTCCCGCTCCAATATCCTTTCAAGCCGGTCAGAGATGTCCTGTACCCTGGCACCGGGCAGGCAGCGCACCATGCGGGATTCCCGATCCGGCTTGCAAAGGATACTATCTATCCCCCTAACTATAGAATCCCCTATAACTACCACTTGTCTTTTTGCTCCCCCCTCTTGAATGGCTTTCTGCACCATGGTGCCGCGGTGAGCTGGCTCATCCTCCCCGCAGCCCTTTTCCTCATCCACACAGGGAGCAAGCATCTCGTACCTGTTGGATAAGGTCAAAAGCTGAGGCTCCTCCACTCCTGAACTCAGGATCCCCCTATCTGCCTCACTTGCAGTCACACCCTGTTGTCCCTGATCACTAACTGAATTTGAATTACTTAATCTACCAGGTGTGACTGCCTCCTGAAACAAAGCATCCAGGTAACTCTCCCAGCTGCCCAAATATATTCCCGGCAGCCCCCTGGTCCTCGCTGTCGCCTCTCCCTCTGCTGCCGAAAAATGAAGGCCTCTGACGCTGCTTATTTTCAATTTTTTTTTTAATTTCACCTGGCAGTTGTTTGTGCTACTTAAATGGAATTACTCAATAGTTTGAACTTGATTCAAAGCCACCTTTGCACAATATCAGGAGTATATTAGAACTGTAGCATCATTCTAGAACAGCAGTAAACTGACAACTCAAATTGGTCCAAGGGTTTTTTGTTCGTCGCACTAATCATTTGTATATCGTGTGGTGTGAATGTTTTCAAAATGTAGCATGTTTGTAAGTGATTAACTTGTAGAATAACATACTGCTCTGTTTTACCTTAAAACTGTCTGCATCTTCAGTTAACGTGGTGCCTGCTGGAATGATGCCATGACTTGGTTCCTGGCCTTTTTGGCCGTTAATTGAATTGGATCCCAATGATTGGCATCCAGGTCTCGGGTGGGTGCCCGTAATTGTCTGGTTTAACAGCAGCTGGTAGGCAATGAACCTGCTGGATAAGACCTATCTCTCAAATGTCTGATTTGTCTTCAGCAGTCCTTTATTTTCCCCAAATGTGGAGAGGAGCCATGACTTTATCATTCCTGGCACGTATGAAGTTTCTTTAAAAATTTTTTTTAGGAAAGCACTTTAGTTAAAAGTGCTTCCCTCCTCGTAATTACACTTTTTTATATAAAGGAAAGAAATAACTAGGTGGAAATGCTGTATTGAGTCAGGGAGAAAAACTTGTAGTGGAAACCTGAGCTGTTGACGGGAGGGTCACTTGTCAAATTTCATTTCTGCCTCTTGTAACAATAACATGACTGTCTTGCTAAATGGGGAGTTATTATCACAGAGCACTTTTTGAGTGTCGCAGGAGTAAATTACTCTGCTCCTAACTGTATAACACTGAGCTTAGCTTTTAAAAGCAGCTGTTCAGAAATGGATGGGAAGTAAAAGTAGAAAATGCATTTTGCCATTAATCTTTTCCTTTTCTACTCCATACCCCACCACGCCCCATGTTTTCTATATTTAATAACCACTTTGATCAAAAATATAGAAATAAAAAGATGCAGTGAAACTCTTAATTTCTTGACATCTGAATCAGAGTGTTGAATTGTGAACCTTGTGTCAGGTTTCTTTTTGGAACAGAAACCCAAGGCACAGGTGTATTGCATGCATGGTCCATGCTACAGCAGACTGTGTGTTACAAACTTGTACTGTAATCAGTCCTTTTATTACAGCTCTTGTTCCTATAAACTTGAATTAATTGGACAGAAGCTGAGAACAGTAATAGCTTGTTTAATACATTGACCAGTGCACCAAAGCTGCAATTTTTTTTGTAAACAAACATGGATGATGCATTATGAGTGGCATTGGGTGAGTCTCTGACGTGTTACATTAACTACCCTGTAACTTGCACAACACAATACTGAAATGTATTTGAATGTCGCATTTATCATTGTGGTTTTACAACGCAGCCTGTGGTTGTTGCCAGTATGTAATACAAATGATTTGTTACTACCAGTTGAACGGAGCTTTGCCTACCATGAAGAGGAAATTGCAGGGGAGATGAGCTGTGCTGTTCACTGCTACTGCATTTCTGGCCGTGGCTGAAATGAGTGCTATCCAGACTGGTCGCCAGTGTGGTTTTATTTTGTGCAACATTGGACTCTGCATGTGGATAAGGGAGGGTTGACAGTGAAACTGCGTGAACAGTGTTGTTGTTCCCAGAGTACTGAAAGGCAAAATGCACACATTGTTCCTTCTTTAATACAAATATGATGTGAAAAATGTTGGATTCTGTGCCTAAAAAGTAAAATTGTTGCCTCGTACTTCGAAACAATTCGGATCTGTTTACGTTGTACTTGTGCTGCACCAGTAAATGACATCCATGCTGAGAAACCTCTATGTCAAATTAAGTGTACACCCTTTTTCGATCATTCTCAATAATGGTGTATACCTGATGTCCAAAAGGTTTAGTTTCATCCTTTCCTCAAATAAAAATATGTGGACTGTTAACAATTTTATATAATGAGTGGTAAAATATCCTAGGGAGATGCATAGGTTGTATCACTAAATTTAATCCCTCATACTTCATATAAATAAAGATGGGTATTTGCGGTTTTCCAAATTCTTTTGTGTATGTTAATGAGGTACGTGGTGGACTTCAGAGAATACAGGGAATTATCATAAAATAACATTTTAAGCTGCCAGCTACCCATTACTAACAATGAAAGGATTACAAAGTAACTACCTGAAACATGTCAAATCCAGTTTAATGATATCCTATGCACGATGATTCTAAAATGATAGTTTGCAGATTCGTGAGAGTTTAAATTTAGCGAAGTAGCTAACAACTGAGGCAGATCTTTTTCTAGTTTGCATCTACAGTTTGCAGAGCACTTGCATATGAAAGATTAGAATCTGTAAATTTTCTGGTCAATTGTGATGAACCCAGAAATCTTGTGAATTTAAATAGTGATGCAGTGCCTGCTCTGAAACGTAATTTTCCAGCCCATTTTTGTACTTGTTTTAGTCAGACGCTGTTACAGTGAAGTGAAGTGCATTTGATTACATCAATAATCTTATTAGCATGTAAGTTGTACCAACTGACTGCTATCCACCTTGATAATTAATTGACTTGAAGTTGTATGTATTCGGTTCTGTTCCAAAAGCGTGTATTTTTGCCTAATTGTGTTGTAAGGAATTTAGTTTGAGTGGAGTGAAGCACCTTCCATGTTTTATTACGTTAATGAGCTGCACAAATGCACATTGTTGAATGTTGTGACCTGATGAGAATTAATCACTGGCTCCCAACTAGTTTAAGATCCAAATTGCTAAAATCCCAGAGTGCCTTCAGTGGGATCTGGAGTAAAAGGCCTTCTTCTCTCTAGTAAATGAACACATTTATTTGTGAACTCAACCTGCCTGTGTCTGTCTCTATCTTCTCCCCTACACACTCTGGGCGAGCTACTTGCAGTTTCTACTCTATTTACTGTTATAGTTTCTGCTGGGAAATAAACATGAATAACGTAAAGGTGAGGGTAGGACTGGTCTTGGCTCTGATACTGCAGCAGATTATAATCAGGCTGTGCCAGTGATTATGAGCATATCAGGTAACCTTTTGGAGGGTGCATGCAAAAGTGAACATTTTGGGGCAAAGAGGCATTATTGGATTTTGAGCTGAAGTGATGCCATCATTAATCGGTCTCCCAAGGTGTGGTGACTATTGCTGGCATATACTTGCATGTCAGTCAAAATTATTCTTTTCTT